GCCTTATCATCCTAACAGAGCACTTCGCTCTCAGAGTGCAGGTCTACTTGTGGTTCCTAGAGTCCACAGAAGTAGAATGGGAGGCAGAGCCTTTAGCTATCAAGCTCCTCTCCTATGGAACCAACTCCCAGTCTCAGTTCAGGAGGCGGACACCCTCCCTACCTTTAAGACTTTCCTTTTTGATGAAGCTTATAGTTAGGGCTGGATCAGGTGATCCTGAGCCTTCACTTAGTTATGCTGCTATAGGCCTAGGTTGCTGGGGGGCACCATGATGCTCTGAGTTTCTCTCCTCTCTTCCCCTCCCCTCTCCTCTCCTCTCCTCTCCTCTCCTCTCCTCTCCTCTCCTCTCCATGCATCTATATACCATCATTACATGTCACTAACTGTGTGCCTCCTCTCGCCCGTAGTGTGTCCTCTCTCTCTTCCTGCTCTTTTCTGCAGGTAGCCTTGGCTCTGGAGCTCTACGTTTCTGATGAGCAGTCAATAGCCTCATCAACCTGCCTAGTGCTTGATCGCTTGTTGTTGTTTGTTGTGTCTTGTTGCTTTTCTTTTCTTTTTCTCTCCTCTATCCACTCACCCCAACCGGTCAAGGCAGAAGGCTGCCCACCAAGAGCCAGGATCTGTCGGAGGTTTCTTCCGTTAAAGGGAGTTTTTTTATCACTGCTGTCGCCAAATACTTGCTTAAGGTGTATTTGTTGGGTTTTCCTCTATAAAAATAGTGATAATGGTAAGGTCCAGACCTTACTTTGTAAAGTGTCCGGAGATTACTTTTGTTACTTTGGTGGCCGGTCTAGTGTCATGGTGCGAGGACAGTAATCTTACCCTCAACAAGGACAAGACGAAGGAGATGATAATGGACACGAAGATGGAGAGGAGAACTCATCGGCCACTGTTCATCCGGGGGCTCGAAGTGGAGAGGGTGAGCAGCTTCAAATACCTAGGCGTCCATGTCAGTGAGGACCTCACTTGGACACTTAACACCACACAGCTGGTCAAGAAGGCCCAACGGTGGCTGTACTTCCTGAGGAGGCTAAGGAGGTTTGGCATATCGCCTAGGATCCTTTGCAACTTCTACAGCAGCATTGTTGAGAGCATGTTGACCAGCTGCATCACTGTCTGGTATGGCAGCACTACTGCTATGGACCGCAAGCGCCTGCAGAGAGTGGTAAAGACTGCGGAGAAGATCACCAGGACTCCACTGCCTTCTCTGCAGAGCATTTACTACCGCATGCTTGAACATGGTGTTCGTTATGGACAAACTGTGGCTAGCACAGAAGTCCAATAACAAGGCACCACTCGGGTTCAGATCGGGGGGGCCGTTCCTCCCAATCACGCCCTTCCAGGCGTCACTGGCGCTGCTCACGTGGGCTGT